AAAGGAAAACCAAGAACGTAGGCCAAGTGGGGGAAATAAAAAGAGGAAGGAGCTCTTGTTTCTGACCGAGGACTCCGATTCAGAAACCTGGCAATGCTGCCTGCCCCCTTGGGTGAGCGTTTGTGGCTCCTCCTGAAGGCAGCCTCGACCCCCTGGCACCGGGCAGGGGGTGACAGGAGGCTGTCACACGAGGCTGTCACGCCAGGCCGGGGGGTGACGTGTGGCTGTCACGCCAGGCAGGCTGCTTCCCAGCAGCTCCGATGCGTTCTCGCTACGAAGCACGGAGCAGCTCAGGTCACAAATCTACTTATCTTCACGGCGTTCCTTAAATGTTCCAAAGCGCAAACCCGGCTATAAAAGTCACTAGATTTAGTCACCAAGCTTATGCATTAATTTTAGATTGTCAACAAGATTAAGTCAAAAAGAGTTTTAAAAGCAAACTCTTCATTTTAACGCTGGCATGAATTTTACACATCTGAACAGCAACTATAAACACCCAAATCTCTTAAATACGGGCAGTGTCTTACCACTTTTTATTGGTACCTGCTTTATTCAGCAATAGCTTACTGATGGATATATATGTATCTCTAAGTAACAGCACTAACCCAGGAGACACCACATTTGGCTAAATGTATATGGGGATAGAAAAGCTTTGGTAATAATTGTACGTGGTTTCACACTGCAGACTTGTCATTACCACAAGACAGCAAGTTACCAGCGAGAAGAATGATACTGGCAGAAATATTTTTGCTTTTCCAGTAACACCACGGGGACTTACATTCAAGCACACAAATTATGCTTTTCTATATGCGTGACAAAGACTTTTAAGATTAAAAAAGTAGGAAAACTCGGTTATAAATAACTGTAGATCTGACCAATTTTGCTCAGGTCTCTGAAGCTGCAGTGCTCTCTGCTGCCCAAAAGGATGGCTTGCTGTGCTGTGCTGTGCTTACCTACAGCTGCTACGAGGCTTTCAGTCAAGACAACGGCAGGATCAGGATTATCCACGAGACACAGGAACGAATTTAATGGCCACAATGCTAGCTTTGCTGAGAAATCTGTTGATTTGCTTAGACACATCATATTCTCGTGTATTGAAAGCAAACAGCTTTTAATACAGTACAGATGGACCAAGTATAATTTTAAACCCATTAAGAACTCTGCTGCAGTCTCTACAATAAACTCAGAGTCTAGTACCCAGAGCTACAAAGCTAAATCTCTAATAGTATTTCTGCGAGTGCAGAAAGTCCTTTTTCTGGTATGTGCAGTGTACAATCTCCAAAATGCAAATATAAAACTTGTAATAGCACAGGAAGCCTTCAGGAAGTGTCCAAATGTAAAGTTCTCAATTTAAATGTCTGTAGCAGGCTGTAACTAAAGCACGCTTTTCAATGCAATTTGGTAAATTCTGGTTTGGACACTTTGAAAAAACCCCATACTCTAAGACTACTTTGGTGACATGGAACTGTACGCCATATCTCAACATGGTGTTCAAATATTAAGAAAATTAAGGCATATAGATAAAAAGGCACCAGCTAAAAAAAAGTACCAAATAACTTTTAATTTTGGTACACTGAAAGGACTGTTTAGCTACAAATCCAATTGCAAATCAAGTTAAAATTTTCAGACTATATTTAAAACGTCAAGAAAAAAAGTCTATGCAGATTTAACTTTGCAGATATTACATCCATGCCTTTTTAAGTCCTTGCATGGATATTTCTGTCACCCAAATTAAAAATAACTAACTTGCTCTAACACAACTGAAGCTTTGAGTCGCACTCGAACAGGGCTGTTACACCATTAAAACCATACTACAGAAGTAGCTGCACTTTTGCTAGTTAATACATGCAACAACCAGAATAATAAAATTCATTAGCTTTGAAAATACATATACTGACTGTGAACCTCGATCTTTATTTCTTGAGAGCATTGCTTCATTGTGGCATTTAGAGTAAAGCAAAACCCTGCACCGGTATTGCTTACATTGGCATTTTCTAGTAATTGGATTCAGTTAAGAATCATTCATGATTCTAAAACGCCGATATCTTCGTTAGGAAGATCTTAGAAGTCGTGAGCAGGGATCTGGGCCCCGCAAGCCTCCTTCCGTGGGGCTGTAAGGACACCGCTCCGGGCACCCTCTCAAATTCTAGAGCTCAGGTTTGTTCAGTATCACGCCAGCAGTCAACAGAAGTGTTTTGCAGACACCATATACAGAGGTACTACATTATTTAATACACCTTAGCTTAGTATATTACCCTAATACGGGATAAATATTATCACAGAATCACAGAATACCAGGTTGGAAGGGACCTCAAGGATCATCTGGTCCAACCTTTCTGGGCAAAAGCACTGTCTAGACAAGCAAGTCCCAGCACCCTGTCCAGCTGAATCTTAAAAGTTTTGGTAAAAGTTTGATTTAGTGTCATAATTAGCTCAAAACATTTACATTAACAATCATCTAATTTAATTTACTCTAAGTTGCTTAAGTCAGTAGACAAATTCTCCAAATGGTGATAAAAACAGCTCAAGCCTAAGCTTGGTTAAAATAATAAAATTTTACTAGGATCACTGTAACTGGCAAACGCCATCCTGATTTAAGAAGCACTGGCTTCACATGGGTAGCTTTCTGATACATCAAAGGAATTAAGGAAAAGACATTCTGCAAATTCGTTTTCTCCTGGCTCCAAAATGCTTACCATTGTCATGACTGAATGCTATTTTTCAGAAAAGCAGCAAACTTGATTATTGAGTAATTAACAAGCACAACGAGGACACGATACTACATTATACATGAGCCAGCACTGTCTCACAAAAAGGACACAGTATAAGAAAACTAGATTCTGAAAATTTTCAAGCTTCAGAGAGTGCAGTTTCTTTTTTAGAATAGTCTCTTTAAATGTTCTGAATGCTACAGATAAACCTGGTTACATTTTCCCTTTAATGTCCTTTTTTGGTAACATAAAATTTCCTTACCTTTTCAGAGATCGTGATCCACTACTGATTTTTATATACATTTTCACCCTGGTTTTCATTTGAAATCAATCATTTCAATAATATGATCTTTAAATTACGTACATAAACTATTAGACGCTACATTAAACTTCCCATCCGTGCTGTCACTAAATTTTGCTTATAAAGCAAAGGTCCTTTACAGCAGAGTACATACCTATTCATCTTAAAGGCTGCGTTCATAGGTTTTATCTAGAGACAGTGAAGTCAAAAAAAAAGTCAGTACAAGCTGACTTTCCTTTCCACCTTCTAAACTTTCCCTGGTCTGGCCAGTTCTTCTCATGCTCAGAAAACATCACACAGTTGTATACCCTGACTGAGAAAATTAAAAGCCTCGTAAAATACTCATGTAAGCCGAGGAAGCCACCACTCTCAAGTCTTGGGAGAGCTGGCCTCAAAAAAGTCATTCTTACTCTACTACAGGTAAAGTGATTGAGATAAATCCATACTCCTGATTATGTTCTGGTACAAAATTTGTAAGTTAGCAGAATAAATTTAGAAATCTTATGAGTGAACTGCCATGGGAATGGGTAAGCTTACTGTTCTACGTCCATGCACTTCATAATTCTGATAGTCCTCTAAAGATGCAAAACTTCTGGAGCCTTGTCAGAGTGGCCAAGAACCAGCCCATTCTGCCTTTACAAAGCAAGCAACAAATCATCCAGAACAATATATATGATTTCCGTTCTGTAGTCCAATAGTTTTATTTGCAGATGCCCTTTTAATTATTTAAGTTGTGTTCGTCTACAAAAATACAAGGGTTTGACTTTTCTGTGGTGAAAAGTCAGCTGTTCACTGCACCTGATCGGTACCTGGACTCTCAGCTGGGAAGCAGTAGTGCAGAGTTTTACTTTTCTTCTATTATTATACTCTTTCAGAAATGGAAAAAACGATTAACGTACATTTTATGACAGTTGGAAATCTGACAAACACCAATCATCTGGATTATCAGGCTGGAGTAATCACGCTCATGTTACGTAACTGCGGGCTTTCTTTGCGCTTCTGGTCTATTCTTTGTACAACCTTTCGTGCTGTGTCTCCTTGTTGAGGTGGATTTATCACTGCCACCTTATTAAAAATATAACTGGACTCTTATCTTTCTCCTGGTGTTAAAAGATGTTGCACTATTTCAGGAATTTTCAACACATCCCAGCTGACTGAACCGTGTTAATAAAACAATTCTTCTAGTGCATAATGGGAAGAATTTTAGATTATTCAGGCACTTAATGTTGACATACATTCCACCCTAGCGCCTCTCAACAGCTTTGAAAACATGGTGTTTTAGAGCTCATTCTGAATTAAGTAACTCGTCTACTGCACAAGGACTTGTCACCTTCCTTCCCTCTCCAGCCATTCATGGGACTGGGGAGGAGAACTGACTCTCAACATTGCTACTTTTTCTTATCTAAGATAACTGTCTCCCTCCGAGCTTATGCAACAGAGTTCTCTTTGGCAGATACAGCAGGAGTCCTTCTCCTCACTAGCTACATCCAACAGCTGATCCTTGTCTATTACGGAAATGTTCCCCTCGAAGTACGGTAGTTCCTAGGAGTCTGGGTCCATAATCCGTTTACCTGTAATTATTTTCCTATGAAGATAATACAATAGTTCTACACCAAAACCTCTAACTAGTACATCAGTGTTGAGTTCTTTTTCTTTATTATTTTCTTTTGGTCACAAAGAAGTACCGGTTAGACACGCTGCTGTACAAAGAGTTCCAAGTTCTTCTGGTTTTATCATTAGCTCTCAGAACCGTGTGTTCCATCTTAAACTGTAAAATCCAGAAACTGATTAGAATGCTAAATTATAACAAGAACTTAGAACTCTCTGCCACAAGTACCAACAATATAAAGAAGAATCACAGAGCAGTAATCTTCTTGTCCTTTAGCTGCATGTCTATTTTTCCCTGCACCCTGAGTCAGTCAGTGGTGTCAGAAAAAGCCACACAGTTCCTGACTGTCCAAGCATTTGTCTTATTTTTTTTTCCCCTTTAAATAAGGAACAAGTATGTACTAAAGTGCTTTATCTACATGAACCACATCAGTACATCATAGAAACAAAAAGTTCTAGCCCTGGTGGGAGCGGGGGGAGAGAAGATTCTCATTTTAGATACAAAATTTAGATTGTTTACAATCTAAGTGAAACAAAGATTCAAGAGAATATTCTCTCTCTTGTCTTTTTTTTCTCCTTTTTTTGTAAAAAAAAAAAACAAATAAAAGTGCAGTCAAATAGAAAACAAATGCAGTAGATGCAAGCTGAGTTGAGGCAGGCTGTTAGTGATAGTGTGCAAACGTGTGTCTTAGCAGTTCATCTGCAAAAGGTCGCAGCTTGGCCTCGATAAAAATCCGTTTCAAGAAATCCCGAGCATGGTCGGAGACATGAGGCGGTAGCTGGGGGTTGGTTGGCTGAGTGGCAATTTTAAAGATGGCAGCCATTGCTTCGAACTCTGCCCACGGGGGCTTCTCAGTGAGCATTTCTACCACTGTACAACCTACGCTCCTGAAACAGAGGCAGAAGTGAAACAGCAGGTTACAACAGAGTCATGCCCTTCCAGGAGAACAAGAAATAGCAGAGAGCGACTAAACACCACGGATAACCAGTGTCCTCTTAACTCTACAAAGCAGCTGCAAAGCCACATGTTGCTTTTACCCACTACCTCTCCAGGATTTACAAACAGTCTGGTAATCCTAACCTCATGCAAGGTCCATTCCAAGGATTCCCTTATGATCCCTAAATTGATGGGCTGAGGAATTGCCAAATGAGAATTTCCCAAATTTCAGTGTTGTACTCTCCGAACAGGACTGACATCGCTCACATGTGCCACATTCTTCCGCTCAAACCCCAGAATGAAACACCCCAGCTTCAGATGATGGACACCTACACTCTGTTGAAAAAGAGCCTGTTCTGAAATGACACCTTTCAGTAGAGAAATTGTTTTTTTTAACATACCAGATGTCTGCTTTTCTGCCGTACCCTTCTCCACTAATAACTTCTGGACTCATCCAGTATGGAGTTCCTGTGACAGACTTCATTCCCGTACCAGAGAGACAGATAGTCTGCAGTCGCTTGCTGGCACCAAAGTCACCGAGCTTCACGTTGCCTGCTGAATCTCGCAGAATATTTGCTCCTGCAAGGAAGGGAACACTGTGTTATATTCCTGAAAGGCCTGTTAACATTTTGGTATGGAAAGTGGTAACAAAAGTTTGGATGGAGTGACATAATGCAAGATCAGCAAGCCAGAGAATTTACTTTCTCTGCTCATTTCCGTGACTCTACTCCGAGGTTCAGAAAATAATGAATTGGATGCACTGGTTCACATCCCAGGCCTTTTCTGGGAAGTGCAAGTCACTAAAGTATTCCTGACAAAATAAGAAATGTGCCATACAAGGGAAATAAACAGAAATGTGAAAGAAGTTTCCACACATCTGAAAATATCTTCATACTATATTAAAGCAAAATCTGAAACTATGTTATGAATTTGTTCAAAACACTTATCTGCATAAGCATATACACATTGACTGTGATATCTCAACCTTTTTTGGAACAAAGCACTAATGATAAAAAGCAAAAGATGTGTAAAAGCTTTAGGGAATGCAACAGCACAGTGTTCACACTTATTTTGCTCATCACCATCTCCCTACATATTCGTAACTTGCTCTGCAGCACTTGCAAGGAACCTCCTTCTATCTACACAGTAAAAATAAACTCTTGAGTCATGATGCATTTCTCTGCACATTCTATTTGTAATGACATCATTCTTTGATATATTCAACACTATTAATATTAAAGTAAAATCAGAAAGAAATTAATCATGGTTGTTTTGCAGACAAAGACTAGGGAAACATTGTCAGAAGTCTGCTAGAACATCACAAAAATGCTTATTTTTCCTCCTCTCAGGTTACAACAGTGACAAGAATAAACACGCAATCTCATTGATTTTAAGTCAGTATTTTGGCATTTCAAACTTGATTAGATTTTAGCATTTCACACAAGACTGGGAAGGAATGTGTAGTAAAGAGCATTGAACCATGCACAGACCTATCGTTACCTTTAATATCTCGATGGACAATCATATTACTGTGCAAATAGTGAACGCCTTCCAAAATCTGCCGCGTGTATTTACGAGTCACATTCTCTGTGAGTGCTCCATAGGATTTCAGTTGGTCTTTTATGGAACCCTGTTGCAAACAAGAAGTACAAAACACTGAACATTTCTAGACTCACAAGTGGGCTAATACTACAGATGAACTTGAATGAAATTTATGCCTGAAATGGAGATATTTAAAGTTGCAATACTTCTCTAGATCAACTTAAAAGCATACATATATTTTCACCTCCACTGAGAAAAATATAAGTTTTGACAAAAAAAAAAAAGGCTGGACAGAGAAGTCATATACTGAAATGTTAACTATGAACTTTAAAACTGACAAGTAGCTGATGTACAGATAAAGAGAACAGCAGTACTTTCATTCAAATACCACTCTCAACTATTTTGATGGTTAAATGGTGATACTCAAGTTTGACAAAACATATCCTGCTTATCTTGGTTAGTTTATTCTCAGGGGGAAAAAAAAAAAAAAAGGTTGTCAAGAAAAACACACCAGATGCTGAAGGACAGTGCTTCATGTAAAAACCAGCAAGTAAGCAAGACTTCACTTAAAATAACAATAAATCAAAAATTCATGGGTTTCTAGCTATTTTTGTACAACCTGGCCTTGTCACATGAAGTTACATCAGACAAATTCAAGCCCCCCAAGACAAAGCTCAGAGCTCACCTAAAAAAACAAAGACACAAACAAAAAACCACCAACAAACAAAACCCAACAAACCAACAACAAAACACACACCACTGTTCTTCTGTGGAGTCTCACGGTAGAGTAGAATGCCATAATGATTCGAAATACAGAGCCTATGTTTTTATACAAGCACATTTTATTTAGCTTTGCTGACTCCACTTAGTGAGAAAATGAAAATCTACGCTTTCTAACCTTATAATATTTCTTAACAAAACAGTAGAAGAACAGTCCAGCATGTACCTAGGTGTCACACCAACAGGCACCAATACTGCTTTCTCTATGCCCTTTATTCCCACACCCATTTTAGCTACTTTTTGTTTTCCTGAAATAACTGAGCACTCCAGATGGTACCTACGTAACACCACAAGCAGAAGTGCAGCAAAAAGAAACAAGGAAGACCCAAGAGTTTACTAATGATAATAACTGTCCTTACAAAGGTGTTACAAAGAACTTTTGTACAAAACCAAACAAGCCACAAAGAAGACAGGCTGCTCTAAGCACTTGTCAGCACCCAGCTTTGACTACTGTTTTTAACGTGTGTATTTCTTTAATATCTGTGGCCACTTCTGCAAAAGCTTCTGCTCAGGGGCTCGCCAGGCTGCCTAGAAGCGACGGCTGAAGCGGACTGGCTCTCTTGCTTACCCCAGGCATATATTCCATGAATATAGAGAGCGTTCTCTCTGGTGGATCTCTCAAGAAGCCGTAATACTGAACAATTCTTTCATGCAGCAGATTTTTCAGCAACTGAATCTCACATTCAAGTGCATTTACTTCCTAAAAGGAAAAAAACAGACAAGATTTACCATGTGTTTTATGTTCTATAAATTGACTTTGGAATGATTTTGCTGTTATTTAATTTTTCCCCTTCCTTTGAAGTTATGTTTGTTTCAGAGCACAGGAGATACCAGTAGGTGTATGAAGTCAGTGATCATTACTCAACATGTCACAGGACTCAAATTGGGTGTAAAAGAAAAAAAAGAAAAAAAAGAAATTCTTTACATGTTTGTTGTGGAATAATTAACATTCATTCTCAACTTTTCCAGGATGACACACTATACTTTTAAAATGCCTTTAAGGGTCACTTAGTCTCAACTTTTCCAGGATGACACACTATACTTTAAAAACGCCTTTAAGGGTCACTTAGCATTGTAATAATGAAATACAACTCAGAAAAACACTAACACATACAGTGCTTTATCTAGAGCTATCTGAAACACTGAAAATTTCGCAAACAGTAAGGTATTTTGAAACAGGCTGTACAGCAAGATGCTGGAGAAACACTAACCCACAAATTCAAACTCGATGGGATTCCAAGTTTCACCCAGAAGTCTTGCAGACTCTTACTGACACCCTCACACTTCTGAGGTTAGAAGGAAAATGACACCGAGAGGCACACGTGACAAAACACTATGGCAAGTGAGGTCACAAAACTGTTGCTACAGCAGAGGCTACCGTGTTTCATACTGAACAACTCCAAAGCATCATCAGTTGGTTCCGCTACATTTTAAAGAAGTAGCAACAACTACACTAGAAATCTACAGCACAAATGATGTAGGAGCAAGGAAAAAAGCCAAGAATCACTAGTAGCAGCAACTAGAACCAGGAGCCACTCCGTTCTGCAGCCATGCTTACACCCTTCGCTCCCCCGGCCTCGCTCCCCACAGTGCAGAACACAGTCCTAATGCAGGAAAAGTAATAATTCTTTTTCCATCCTGTAAAAAACAGGAAGTACGGTTTGGGAAAAAAGAAATAGAGAAATGGTGCTACCTTTAAATAATTTCTCTCCTCACGTGTCCAGTATTTAAAGCAGGACAAGTTCAATTTTAGAGAGAGAATAAACAGGTCAATGCAACTTTTGCTGTTCAGAGAGAGATGCAATGAATAATAGTGGCTAGCCCTGATGACTAAAGTTTTACAACCACCCCCCTCAACAAACCCTCCCAAAAGATAAAAAAAGGCAAGAATCTCAAACTGTCTCCATAGCCAAACAAAATATCCTCAAGAATTTATTCTTAGGAACGCTTAAATTAGTACAGATTTTTCTGTTTATAAATGGAATGTGTTCTAATTCTAAGATTAATAATTACCTATTTCAGAGCACAATTTATAATGGATTGTTTAATTCTAGAGACTGAGACAGCACCAAATTTAGTAACGTGTGTTCACTGCAATAGGATATGCCTGAAAATTAAAAAATGAGATGTAACATTAAAATGGGGTAGCCAAGCTAATTCTCTGAGTTCTAAGAAGTGTCTAAAAACCTCAGTCCTGTTCAAGGACAGTAACATCAGTATCATCTAAAACACAACACTTCAGCAGAAGCCTGTCACAAACATTCTCTTTGGTATCACTTACCTTGCTGGTTTCTGGACTATCAGGATCAAACTGAACTTGTTTAACAGCCAGTTCTCTTCCGGTATCAGCATCGTAACACAGGTACACTCTGCCAAACGCACCTTGGCCCAGCAGTTTCCCAAGCCTCCAGTTAGTTGGAGCTCGTGGTGCTGAAAATACAAGGATGTTTTGGTTTTCAAATGAGCTTGTTATTCATCTGATCGACAAAAACTGGAATACACAGAAAATGATTTTTTTAAAGACTATGTTTTTCGGCAAGAGCCTGTGCATCCTAAACCTCCTCATATAAGCTACAAAGATCAATAAAGCTTCCTGTAAGATGGAAAACACGAGTTAATTAAAATTATGAAAATCGCCTGTGACAGAGATAGACATGCTTAAAATAATTAGTAACAGCTAATCTGAAAAACAGAAAAAAGCATGTTTAAACTTAGCAACATTTTAAAGAAAACCACAGCATGGTTAAAATGCAGCAGCTACTGAAGACATCACAAAGTATATTTGCTCCCAAAATGCCACCACCTGAGGTCTACAATATATCATAAAACCTGACCAACATCTGCAAAAATAAATAGTAACTGCGACCTGTATAACCCTTCTCGGGTCCTCAAGAGTCTAACAGATCACAGGAAATATTTTTGCAGTGTTTTGTTATCACAGATGCAAATTCCATGTGAAAATCTACACGAAGGTTTGTACAGTAAGCAATGAAAAAAAAAGATGAGCGTATTTAGTCGCATGCATTTCGATGGCACACTTTGTTTTGACACAACATACTTGAAAGCCAACAGAGTTTTCCAGCGGAGTTCACAAAACATTTCACTTACAGCGACTGGGTGGGCTGATGTCCATGACGGACAAGGTAGGATTGTCTATGTCGCTGCCCCTCCGCCGCAGGCGGTTATCTTCGTACTCCGGTGTGAAGACGCTGCTTCCACTACTGGTGCTCAGCGAGTGATCGGTGGGACTGAAACTAACTGGTGACCGGAAGCTGTTCCCCTGAGTCCTTCTGGCTCTTGGAAAAGTTTTACGACCTTCAAGAATACACAAACAATATTGTTGCACTACAACAAATGCTGCTGTGCAAGGTGTGCGTGCAAATGCTTTATCAACTCCACAGAGCGCAGCTCAGATCTCCCCGTGTACGATACGGTGTGATGTAATGTCCTATATATGCAGTGACCAATTTTTCACTGTGTTAAAATGGAGTATCTAGTTACTAGTTTCAAGTGAAGAAAAAAGAAATTGGACGACAGGGAAATACAAATTATAAGCTACTTTCAAAGTTAGTTACATAAACAAAATGATTATCTCTCCTCTTAAAGCCAATTCAGAGTTTATCTAAACTTAAGGGTGACAGATCTTTGCCTCTAATCTTGCCTTAGAGCAAGGGACTGGACCAAAGCTGCCTGACAGTCCTTCAGCTTGGTATTTGTGTGATTTCTGTAACAGAATTCCATTTATTGCTATGCTCATGCCATACTGCAAATGAAACCATCTGGAGAAATTTCTTCTTAACACGTCTCAACTACTGCCTGACACACCCTCAGGTCAGACAATCCTTCAGCTGCTCCTCTTCCCTTCCTTTGGAAATTTAACACGTGTTACATTTACATCAGTGTTATTACTGTCCAAATCAGTTTTGTAGCCACATCAGCAGGTGCTGCTGTTTTGCATTCCAACAACTGATTTCACCAGTTAATTGTTAATT